AAAAAACTGTGTTTAACCCAGCAGCTGCAAGCTGGCATGTAAGCATCACCCCCAACATCACGTCACCCTATATTTCCATATAACCTGAGTGAACATTTCCTGAGCACACAGAACGGAACCCGTGGCTCGTGGACCCCCGGTCCTATCTGCGTCTCCCGTTCGGGGGTTTATCACCACTGTCGTCATACGTGCTGCTGCAGTGAGGGGGACCGAAACAGAAAAAGGATTCACGATGAGACCAGAAAACCGGGATGCTGCGGGTCGGACCCCGTCTCTGGCTGCCCCCCTCGCGCAGCATCACGCGGAGCCACGGCGTTCCGAGCGCGCCCGCTGACGGCGCCTCGCTCTTAATTGGCTGATGATGAGGCTAGTTATGATGTAATCTTTTTCACTCCCTCTCTCTTCCACTCAGCCTGCCCCCTCCCTCTCTCCCTCTCCCCCCCCCCCCCCCCCCCCCCCCCCCCCCCACCCCCACTTCTTTCCCTGTGTTCCTCTCCCATCCTAACCAACATGGCCGCTAAGTCGGATGGAGTAGCGGTGTCTGTGGAGGAGGACAACACGCCCCGGAGCCTGTCGGAGTCCGGGCTCCCGGCCGCCGGGCCCCGCCGGCGCGCGGCCGCCGGGGGGAAGCCCTACACCCCGCTGGACTGCTGCTGGGTGCTGTGCGCCCTGCTGGTCTTCTTCTCCGACGGCGCCACCGACCTGTGGCTGGCCGCCGACTACTACCTGCGGGGCGACTACTGGTGGTTCGGGCTGACGCTGGTCTTCGTCGTGGTGCCCTCCGCCGTGGTGCAGGTGCTGAGCTTCCGCTGGGTCGTCTACGACTACTCGGATCTTGCGGGAGGAGATGCACCGGCGGGCGGCGGCGGCGGAGGAGGAGGAGGAGGAGGAGGAGGAGGGGGGGGGGGCTGCGCGGCGGAGGCGGGCGCCGGCACCGCGGGGGGGGACGGCGCCTTCAGCACCAAGGACAGCGACCAGCGGCCGCCGGCCAACGCCAACGCCGTGGTGCACGCGTCCCCCGGCGGGGCGGCGGTGCACGCGTCCCCCGGCGGGGCGGCGGGGGGGGGGGGAGCCGGCGCGCCCCGGAGGTGCTGCACCGTCTGCATGTGGGTTTTCCAAACCGTGCTGCACGTCCTGCAGCTGGGGCAGGTCTGGAGGTAGGAGCCCGGCGTGCGTGGTGGAGGTCAAGAGCCTATCTGCTCCTTTTGTCTGTGTGTGTGTGTGTGTGTGTGTGTGTGTGTGTGTGTGTGTGTGTGTGCGCGTGTGTGTGTGTGTGCGCGTGCGTGTGCGCGCGCGCACCGGTTGTTTAACGTGTTCCAAGTGCATATGTGATAGATTTCGAGGCTCGCGCTGGAGAGCGGGTGTGTGTACGCGATCTCCATGTGCGCGTGAGCCTGCGCCCGCTCATGCGTCCGTGCGCCCGCGCTCACATATTCCCACTAACGTGACAGAAATGTGCAAAAGCGGAAAGGAGGGAGTGTTTTTTTTTTCTCTCTCCTCCACACTGTATATTTGTATGTTAAATTCGCAGCAGCTGTGATGATGGGAATGACGTCCCCTCACCCTGAAAGTTTTTGCCCCCCCCCCTCTCTCCTGGTTCTGGTTCTAACAGAATCTGAACGGATGTCCTGATAGGTTGACAGAAGTGTTCTCAAGGTCAGGAGGTGTAGATCTATCACACATGTGAGGCAGTGGGTCTGGGTTTGGGCAAAACTAGATTCAAAATTCTGCATAACCGTTGTCAAGGGGCTCATACCCCAAATGGCCTCACAGTGGTTTCATTTAAGAATCAGTGTTGGGGGAAATAGAAATAGAGAACTAGATTCTGGAAACTTTTGGAGAATTTTGGCATCTTAAACCTTTAAACCTTTGTCCCATCAAGCAGTGACCCTGCAGGGTCTTCTTCAAACATCCAGAACCCCCAAGATCTGAATGACTGACTTCCTCCCAGTGGGAGAAATTGTTAAGATTTTGGACGAAAACTGATTTCAGGCAGGCATTTTTAGTTGATCACGTAGTCAAGATATGGCAGATAAGAAGAACAGTGGACGACAAGCAGAGTTCCAGTAGAATTTTTAAAAAAAAGCTATTTTTGGAGAATAGCAATTCCATTAAAAAAGATACCTGCCCATCTCCTTACCGTTAGGTTTGTGTTTAAGCCAACAACAGGGACCATTTTGAACTAAAACGCAGGAAATGAGATGCCGGGGGAAGCAGAAGCTGGAGGTAAAGAGGCTTTTACAGCGGGGGGGTGTTCCCAGGCTCTCCTCCAGAGCAGCTGCACCCCCGGAGACCTATCTATGGTGCTCCTCTTTGGCTGACCCATGCAGACCAGTGCATGCCAAAATCGACTGGCTGAGAGGGAAACATGCTCAGACTTTGACTCATATTGATTAATCACCGACTGACACTTTTGGTGAAGTGTCTCAGAATCTAAGAAGATTTCCACATGCAGTTTAAATAGATATATATTTATAGGCTGACTTAATAGATGTGATGAAATTCATAGGGTTAGGGTTAATGGATATTTTCCAGTGTCACTACTGGATCTGGAACATCTGGATATTTTCCTCTGCTTGTTGATAGAAATGATCTCAGCTTTCGAAGCACAGAAAAATGTTTTAAAATGTGTATACAACCAGTCTTTTACCATTATAATGGGACCTACATTTGAAGAATTAACACAGATGAGAAGCATGGATCATGTAAGTTGCTCAAACGTTGGACAACCAAGAGAAAAAAATCAGTCAACTCCAAAAGTCTCTCCTCCCTTTTAAAAACGGTGTGCTTAGCTTAGCTGCTATGCTAGCCAGTCACATGGGGCTGCAGGGGAGAGTGTGTGACAATCATCCATTTGACTTCAACAACCACCCAATCCAAGAAAAATAGGAAGAATATTGGATTTTTTTAGTCTGAAGTCTTTCTTTGGCCCCTCAACAACATATGAAGAAAAAAAAACAGAAATTATTTTGATCAAATTAGCGTGCCATAAGTCAAAACTATATGTTGGTGTAGTCTTCTACTGGCTGTTATCAGGTATATCTGAATGTGTACAACAGGGGTTTGAGCAAAGCTTTTACCACTGAATGATGCAGAAAGTCTCACATCCAAAAGACTTCAGAAACCGGATCAAATATGACACATTTGGCATTATAGGGTTAAAACAGAGACCTTCTGTTTTAAGTTGGGCCAAATCAAGCAGGTTAAAAGACAATAGTTCCAAGCTGAGGACGTCAATAGATGTGAGTGTGAGTGGTGTGAGTGTCACTTTAATCCTTTGGAAACATACAAAAAAATCCACTTAATGGGCAAAAACCTCTGGAAAGAAGGGGCTACAAGAGAAGTGGTAGGACAGGTGCATCATGGGAGCTCCCCAGTAGAACCGTGGGGTGTCTTAGGGTCTCTGACCCCAGAAGAGATCCGCAGCTGTCTAACCAGTGTAGTCAAACCTCACATCTCCCGAAATCATGAGTCCTGAAAGACATGTGACAGCACTGGCAGGCCTGCTGCCTCCACACTGCCATTGTTCCCAACATGGATCCTCCCATCAGACAATTGTTGCCTGTCGTTTTGCAAAGAAGTTTTTTCCCATCATCGTCATTTGCCTTTGACAGCCCTTTTGTGTTTCTCGTCACTGCATTTTAGATTGCATCTTTTTTTCCGGCATGTGGAATAATATATTCCTTTCAGTCATCAAAGGGTAAATCAATGCAAATCAATGTAAATGTGAACTGAAGTCAACTCCCCCGTTTCCATAGATGGCACTCTCCTACACCCCGAGTCCATTTTTTATTTTCAAATACGCGTAAAACAAAGCTGAAACGCAGCAAGGCCACATTTATTTATTTTTGGTTCTTTATTTCTGCTGTACTCTGTGTAGACAGACTCACAAAGTCCCTCCACACACACACACACAGAAGGCAACTACAACTCCACTATGGCTATGCTGCTGGCATCCTCTGATTGGTGGGGACTGCCCAGGAGAACGTGGACATAGACGCTAATGGCCGTGTGCTTAAAGAGGAACAGAGGCCTAGCATGTTCCTTCCAGCAGAACTGGACCATGTTCTCTGTGGGAACCGGGGCTCGGAGGCCTTACGGGGCAGAGGGGGGGCAGACCCGGAGATCCCTTCCTGGGCTAGCATCAGTGAAGCCTATCTGACCCCGGCAGCTACAGGTAGCCCGGGCAGCCCAAGGGGGCCGTGTGGCCATGGAAGGAGGTCCAGATCCAGATGCACCGCCATGTTCCGGCCGGTCAGCAACACTTTGACCACACGGACCCAAAGGCCCCACGGAAGGGTGTCGCAATAGCGAAGGCGGCTAACCGGCAGGGACTCTATGCCCCCAATAAGTAAAGCCTTTGTCTAATGCTTTAGATAATAGATTTTCTTACAGTTTATCCAAAAGAATAAGAAAAAGACTTGTTAATGAATCCACAGAACCACCAGGGACTGGGTTGCCCCCAGTTGTGGCTTTGCTGGAGCCCTAGTTCAGCGGTCAGTGGACCACTGGCTCCAAGCCAGGCCAGGTCCAGAGGCTCAGCAGAGACGTGATGGAATGAGCCCCTAACAGACTCTGGGCTCAGGTGGCCAATCGTCAGCCAGCGTGTGTGTGTGTGTGTGTGTGTTTGTGTGCTAAGGAGAGGTCGGTCTCAGTGTCCGTTCATGGTTGCGGTGACCTGTAGTGACTGTGGCCTTCAGAGTCCATGCTGAGGAAGGCTTTGGGGTTGCCAGGAGTAGTGGACGATCTGAATAGTGGCTGTTAGTCCACCTGTCAGGTCTTTTATTCCTTAATGGGGCGCCTCTCTCATCCTCGTGAAACTGCGGGCGGTTTGCATCCGAGCCGAGAGTGATTTGTAAATGTCACTTGTTCAATTTGTGAAGATTATTGTTGCGTGTTATGAAAGAAAGGCCTTTCAGTCAAGTTGTGTCACCATCTGGAGAAGGGAGGCAGCGTCTCTTTAAAAGGCTCCTTTATGCCGGTCTCCATTAAATAGAGTCTTTGTGGAATGCTTTAGATAAACCGAGTCCATTAAGTACCATAACAAGACGTCCTACCTGCTATTCAGAGTAAACACGGGCAGCGTCAGCCACAAAAAATGCAGCAGAATAAATGAATAAATCCCTAAATGTGGCAGTTAAACACAACTGCTCAGCACCTAATGAAGGACCTCCTGATCCCCCTGGTCCCTGGTTCCTGGTTCCCTGGTTCCCTGGTTTGGGGGGCATAGAAACCCGAGAAACCCAGCAAATATGATGCCGTAGTTTTTATTATTATGTCAGTGTGTTTTGCTTTATTCTATGAACATACGCTTCCTTAAGGTGAGAAAAAAAAGAGAGATTCCTTAAAGATACGATATGAAGTACGGACTTCACCACAGACTTGGGTAAACTTCGTCATTTCATTGTGTGGGGCCAACAAGTTTCCATTGGCGTTCGGTGCCACGCCTCCTTTGAAAGTGGAACATGATGCAGTCAGAACGACTAAAGCTCGTTTTCGAGGAGCCGAAAATGCAAAATTAAGTCAGCAAAGTCATGATCACGTCTCTCAGCTGAGAGCTGAAAGGGAGAAAAAATGATTGATTGGTCCGGAGACGTCTTTCCAAAAGCCTGTTTTACTTTGATTACTCTTAGTAGACTGAAAATCCTCTGTTATTAATTATGATGCGTCCAACTACATTGATCAATTTACGCAGGTGTGTGTGTGAGTGTGTGTGTGTTTGCTGTTTGGATGTCAGAAATGGGATAGCCACGAGAAACGTTCTGAATTTCAAACGTTTCCCTTAAAGAATTGAACATCCCTGGAGTGTAAATGGACCCAGGTTTATGTAAAATTGAATCCAGCTATTGATTAGGCGCAGAAGTCTGCCTGAGGGGAGGTTTGGCTGATGTGCAGTTCGTCTGTCTGCCTCTCAGTCTTCCATCCTGCCTCGTTCCCTCCTGTCTATCCGTCTGTCACGGCGCGCTGAATAATTAACCACCACCCTTGAGGGGGCTGTCAATCCCGTTTGCAGCGTGTGTGTGTGCGTGCGTTTACGAGGAGATCCAGCATTTCCTGCGAGATCCCCCTGTCACGCCGTCTCTCTCTGTCACCGGAGTCTTCTGTCTGCTTCTCCTTTGAGCAGCTCTGTACTAACAGCTCACAGGCAGGAACACACTCGTTCCGGGACAGGACTGATGGTCCAGGTTGAACTTTGAAAAGACTGAAATATCTCTGTGGTGCCCTCCGCTCCTCGGAGTATCTTTCGG